CGCCGTCCGAGGAGGAGGCGTGACGCTAGGCGTAGGAATGCCGTTGTCTTGGGAAGAACCCTCTTCTTTCTTGGCATACATAGGCCTCGGGCCCAGGTTCGTGGAAGGAGATGAAATATGACCCGGCGGCGGGGCGCGCTTCTTGTTGAGGACTTTGCTGCTGATATTGCTGTCGGCAATTTTCAGCGCCTCCTGGTCGACAGTGAACTGAATGGGGGCAGCAGCAGCTTGCGTGCGCAGGTAGTACATGCCGGTCTTCAACCCTAGCTTCCAGCCTGCGAAATGCATGCTAGTGATCTTGCCCATGGTCGGGTCCTTCATGTGGATGTTGAGGGACTGGGACTGGTCGATAAAGGCGCCACGATCGGCGGCCATCTGTACAACGGTACGCTGGGAAATTTCCCAGACGGTTTTGTACAGGGCCTTGACCTCGGCGGGAATGTTGGGAATGTTCTGCACGGAGCCATTCTCAGCAATAATGCGGTTCTTCATGGCGTCAGACCACAAGCCCATGTCGACGAGGTCCTTGAGAAGCCAAGGGTTGACAACCTGGAACTCGCCAGCTAAGACGCGACGCTGGTAGATGTTGGAGGTGTAAGGCTCAAAGCATTCGTTGTTGCCCAGAATCTGGGAAGTACTGGCGGTTGGCATGGGGGCAACAAGCAAGCTGTTACGCACACCATGCTCCTTGATCTGGTCCTTCAGAGAATCCCAGTCCCAGAGGTCCGAGGGCTTTACTCCCCACATATCGTATTGAAGGATGCCCTGTGAGACTGGGGAGCCTTCATAAGACGAATAAGTGCCCTCCTCCTTGGCTAACTGCACTGACATGGTGAGAGCAGCATGGTAGATGGTCTCGAAGATCTTCTTGTTCAGTTCACGAGCCTCAGGCGACTCGAACGGCAGTCGCAGAGCCAAGAATGCATCAGCAAGACCCTGGACACCGAGGCCGATGGGCCGATGGCGCATGTTGCTGTTGCGAGCCTCCGGCACGGGATAGTGGTTGACGTCGATAATCCTGTTCAGGTTGCGAACAACAACCTGGGTGACATCGTGTAGCTTCTGGAAGTCATAGATTCCGTCGTTGTAGTTCACAAAAGAAGGGAGAGCAAGGGACGCCAAGTTGCAGACGGCGACCTCGTCAGGGGCCGAGTACTCAATGATTTCCGTGCAGAGGTTGGAGCTTCGAATGGTGCCGAGATTCTTCTGGTTGCTCTTGCGGTTGGCATGATCCTTGTAGAGCATGAAAGGGTTACCAGTCTCGGTCTGGGCCTCGAGAATGGCATACCAGAGCTTCTGGGCCTTCATGGTCTTTCGACCCTTGCCTTCGCGCTCGTACTTCTCGTACAAGGCTTCAAATTCCTCGCCATAGCAGTCGGCAAGACCCGGGCACTCGTTGGGGCACATCAGTGTCCAGTCGCCGTTCTTCTCCACTCGCTTCATGAAGAGATCAGGAATCCAAAGGGCGAGAAAAAGGTCACGGGCACGGACCTCCTCCTTGCCGTGGTTCTTGCGGAGGTCCAAGAACTCGAAGACGTCGGCATGCCAGGGCTCGAGGTAGATGGCAAAGGCACCGGGGCGCTTGTTGCCACCCTGGTCGACATAGCGGGCGGTGTTATTGAAGACGCGGAGCATTGGGGTGACACCGTTGGAGGTGCCATTGGTACCGGCGATGTAGGAGCCAGTGGCACGGATGCGGTGGACGTTTAGACCAATGCCGCCGGCCATTTTTGATATCATGGCGCAGGTCTTCAGAGTGTCGTAGATGCCCTCAATAGAGTCTTCCTTCATGTCGACGAGAAAACAGGACGACAGCTGTGCCTGAGGAGTACCGGCGTTGAACAATGTGGGCGAAGCGTGGGTGAAGCACTTGCTCGACATCAAGTTGTACGTCTCGATGACGCGCTCAACATCGTCGCCCCAGATGCCGACGGCAACACGCATGATCATGTGCTGTGGTCTCTCAGCAATCTTGCCATCAAGCTTGAGAAGATAGGATCTCTCCAAGGTCTTAAAGCCGAAGTATTGGTAGTTGAAGTCGCGGTCGTAAACGATGGCAGAATCGAGCTCCTCCTTGTGCCTCATGACACAGTCGTACGTCTCCTTCGCAATCATCGGGGACAAGCGGCCATTCTTGGGGTTCACATAGTGATAGAGATCGCTGACGACTGAAGACCATTGCTTCTTAGTCTGCTTGTGGAGGTTGGAGACTGCAATACGGGCAGCAAGGATGGCATAGTCGGGATGTGTGACAGTCATGTAGGCGGCAGTCTCGGCGGCCTGATTAAGACCACGTTAGCGATTGACAAGCGAGCGGAAAGGTCAGGTGCAAGATCTCACCAGATCATCAAGTTGCACAGTTGTTACGCCTCCGTATACACCAGAGATGACCTTTTGGGTAATGGCGACCGGGTCAACGTGGTCCATGTCGAGACCATAGCATAGCCTCGACACTCTGGCCGTGATCTTGTCGAACTGGACGCGCTCCTGGCGCCCATCTGCATTCCGTTAGAAGACTAGAGATTCGTGATACGCGTCTGCGATGGACGTACCGCGCTTCCTCACGAACATGGCGCCTGAATTCGGCAGTGAGGATAAAGGGGGAGGTAGCGTTGGTTGTTGAAGCCGTCAAAGCGGTGGACACGCAACACGGGAGCAAGAAGATGTATTGAATGAGGGAATGTCGAGAACACCAGGATATCAGAGGCCTCTGTACAAGACGTCAAGAAAGGGTGGTGATGTTGTTGGTTGTAGGAGGGGGAAAAAAGGCGAGAGGGTCAGGAAGTGCTGCAGATTTATTGTCGCTGCCAAACGGCACAGTCCATGCTAAATTCGCGCTCGCGTACGCGCGACGCGCCCGAGCCAGAGAGGGGCAGCACGCTCTTACGAACATGATTCGCTAAAAACAACATCCGACCTCCTTATACTGTTCCTTAGTCAGAGTTCCGCCCCTCGGTTTTGCGGTCTTTGCCCTCGCATCCGACTCCCTAGCCAACCTGGGAGACAACAACAACAACTTGACTAATCCTAGCCTTCGACATCAGTCCAGAGACAACTGAACTCCACTGAGGGTGCTCGTGCCAGAGTCGGGTTGCCGCTTGCAACGTGTGAGATGACTTCAGTTCGGCGTCTTGGTTAGTTTCTGCATCTGCGTCAGATTTATTGATCAAGAAATGAAAAGTTGAAGAGGAAAGGGGCGGGACTAGAGATCCTGTGAAAGCATGCAACAGGTGCTCAAGCGTCCTCCAAGCGGCTGCCATTTTCTTTAATTGATTTTCTTTTTTGGTCAAAGCTGCAGGTACTTTACGCGTGTCGCGAGAGTGGACACCATGCTTGCTCACGCACTCACGTGATCTGGTGAGGCCGAATGGTGAGGCCAAATAGCAAGGCAAGCTCTGACTACTGAACTACCTAGTAGTCTGTTGCCTTGGTGTGGTATAAATTCCAGGAAAACTGGTGCTCAGTGTCGAACTTGTCTCAGTGCCGTGTTCTTTCCTGACTCCTCATGAGGCTCCATGCGCTTGCAATAGCACCATCACGGCCCAACCATTGGATCTTACCCCTCCTTCAACAACGACGAGCCTTTCTCAAGTCAGCTTCCGTAGTCACCATGGCGGCCGCAGGCGCGCCCAAGTCGGCTTTTCAGCCAAGGTACATTGATGTGTGTTACCTCACTTGCATTTTTTCGCTTTTGAACATGACCTGACCGTAGTTGATAACTAGATCGGTATCAACTTGGCCGATCCCATTTTCCGCGGCGTGCATCATGGGAAGAGACGCCATCCTGATGACTTGGACGCCGTGATCCGCAGGGCGCAGCAAGTCGGCTGCTCCAAGCTGATTGTCACCGGATCCGACTTTACCAGTTGCCGAGATGCCCTCGAGATCGCCAAGCAGTATCGTGCGTATATGACGGATAGCACGAACTATTTTGAGCCATGCTGACACACCGCTCAGCCAGCATCGTTTACACCACTATTGGCATCCATCCGTGCAGTAGTGCAATCTTCAGCACCTTAGATGAGGGTGCCGAGGGTGCGCATTCCGATCCCGATCCAGCTCGGGCTATACCCGAGCGCCATCAGCCCGACCCTGCCAAGACAGAGGCCATAGTCTCCGAGCTACGAGGCCTCATCAATCATGCGGCTGCCTCCAACGCCGGTCTCGTTGCCTTAGGCGAGTTTGGTCTTGACTATGACCGTCTGCACTACTGTTCAAGGTCCATACAATTGCATTCGTTCGCTGCACAGCTCGATCTCGTTCTAGAAATCAAGCCACGGCTGCCTCTTTTCTTACACTCCAGAGCCGCCCACCAAGACTTTGTGAGCTTGCTCAAGCAGAAGTTTGGCGAGAGGCTTGAGAAGCTCGAGAAAGGCGGCGTTGTTCACAGTTTCACTGGCACTATCGAAGAGGCTACGGAACTGATGGATCTAGGTCTTTATATCGGCATCAATGGCTGCAGCTTCAAGACCGAAGAGAACTGCAAAGTCGTCAAAGCGATAGCTTTAGAGAAGATGATGTTGGAAACTGACGGCCCTTGGTGCGAGATTCGGCCCAGCCATTTTGGCTACAAGTACTTGATGGAGAGGAAGCCAGATGTGACTGGTCTCGCTACCACTGCAGGCACGGATATTGCAGCTCAGCCCCACACGAAGAAGAAAAATCAAAAGAAAGAGTCCGAGGTGCCGGAACGCTTCAAGATCGTCAAAAAGGAGAAGTGGGAAGAAGGTGCGATGATCAAGGGTCGCAATGAACCGTGTACCATCGAACGAGTTGCCAAGGCTGTGGCGGGCATCAAAGAAGTAGATGTTGAGCAAGTCTGCGAGGTAGCTTGGAGTAACACGGTCAAGGTTTTTGGCGTAGACAAATAGAGGATGTTGATTGCATCAAGGGGACTGGCAATGGGGGGTAATAGAAATGCGACAGGGCGCTACGCTAATCATGACAAGACAGGCCCTTCTCCAGATGCTCCGATCTAAGCCTCGGCCGTCTATCTCGTCTTATAATCCAGATCCTCTGTGCCCTCTGATTCTTCCGTGGCGCACAGCCCCAATGGTGACTCCTTCTTCGCCTGTCAACCATCCCGGCATCCGCTGTCCCTCTATAATACCGTTCTCAACCAGCCGTCGCACACCAGCGAACACGTGGGCCCCATACATAATGACTTTCACCTTGGGAATCCAACCCGATTCTTCACTGTCTGAGACATGGCTACCCATTTCCTCGTCATCCAGACCATATATTCGTCGGATGGGAAAAGGGTCTTCGATGGCAACATCCACGCGCTCGATACCCAATCCGTCATCCAACCTGGCAGTGCTACCGAACCTCGCCTGAGCGCAAAGCCGAGCCCGTTTCAATGAACAGTGACTGTCATAGAGAGCGTCACCGTTCCTCTTGTTAGCCTTCCTTTTCGTTGGGTTCGAGCTTTCGTCGGACGATTCTTCAGACAACGGCGGAGTGGGCAGCGTGTTGTCAAGCGGTGACTCGTTCTTCTTTTTGTCGGCATAGACATTCCATCCGCCGCCAGCCGAGTTTGCACGACCAACACCTCTTGCATGTAGGAGGGCCGAAATATTCTTGGTCGAGATGTTTGTGGGTTTTAGCATGTACCTCTCTCGTGGCCGAGACAACGCCTTGGGAATCCCCTCAATAACTAGGTTGCGGAAGCTTTTGGACTCTGCTGCGCCGAGCGACCCTATGGTCTGGGATTTTGACAAGTAAATGTAGTGTGAAGCATCTGGGAATGCCATGTAGAGTGTCCTCGAGCAATCAACATCGGAGTCCGGGGGCGCGAGACTATCTCCAGGGTGGGCCATGCTAGTGTTGTAGGGGGATTCGATGATGAAAATGCGCAAGACTGACATGGCGAGGCCCTGCGGTCGATGGATATGATAATGAGCTTTGACATCTGGTAAGACGTGAGATTGAAGGTTTTGTATGAAGGTCGAGGGATGAAAGCGTGGTAGTTTCAATGACTCTCTATCCAGGTCGGGGGGACGCTGCTCGTCGTCCGTGGTAGAGATGTCCTTAAGAGGCAAAATGCGATAGGCAGTCCATCTCTGCGAAGAAGGGTGATCCTGAAGGTACTGTGCGTCTGCCATGGCTAGTTGATACAGAGTTAGGCCATGCTGCCAATCGCCGTCTGTCACCCGGTCGAGAACCTCCCTCTTGGAACCGTTCCTGCATTGCCAATCTTTGTAGATAGCGCGCAGTTCATCGAGTGACGTGGCTGGCTGGTATAACCCGTCCTCATCAACATCGTCGCCTAAAAGCGGTACGCATAAGGAGACATTCTCATCGCTGATCCAATCCAAAGCCAGCGTGAGAAGAGACGGGCGTGAAAGCCTGGTCAGAGCTTTCTGGACTGCGGCACTGGAAGTCGGAAGTCGAACATCTGAAGACAGAGACCGTTTGGTGGGGATCGAAAATCGAGCCATGGCCCTAAAATAATTGTCAATTGAAGGGACACGGTTCTGAGTCGATGCGGGAATTGAATGTTGTGGATGAGGCTGAACGAAGCGGGCAACGACGCGCTCTAAACTTTGGTCTGGTCTACTGCTCGGGGGACGCGTCGTGGATGCGAAACGCTAAAGGGACAAGGGTGTTAGGTACGGCTGGGCTGCTTGCCCGTCAGTTCTACCTACCTACCTTACCTGCCCGACTAGGTACCCGGATCCGGGATGAGAACCTAAGGCACCTTCCCTGGCCTACTGCGTCCTCTCGCTAAGGTTGTGAAGGTGCCTACCTACGCACTCAATCCAGTTCCAGGCAAGGTCAGAACACGCATAGGGAAGGACTTTGCCGCGCTGAAAGCTGTCCAGGATCTCACCTCGCCTCACCTCAGACTTTGTTTTCACTACTACGAATGGGCACTCCGTATCAACGTTCGCTTAGGGCTGGGGACGTTGAGGTGCTGCAGGCCGGCGGGTTGCAATGCACCTGCACTAACTGGGATGATACAACGGGACGTTGGTTGCAGGTTTGCATAGCAATATTGAGCATGGCGCACGCCCTGTCGTGTTCCGAGCGTCGGAGCTGCTTATAAATTCGGATTTTCAGGGTCCTTGGCTTCCTTCCCAAAAGACCTACGGGAAAGAACCAGGTCGCCCAGCCAAGCCGCGAAAGGATGGTTGGGTACTAGGGTAGTGTGTACAGTCCATCGAGTCATGCCTTCCGGGATCTCAAGGAGGTTGGTTGGTTGGTTGGTTGGTCGGAGATTGGCGCCGGGGCGCCAACATGTGTGACAGTAGGCAGCGCGGATGTGGCCTTTGCCTTCAGGATATCGAGCCATTTTCAGCAGAATAGCAGCCATCAAAGTGCTAGCCAGTGACGGCGCAAAAAGAGCGCATTTGCAAAACTCAAGTTTAGGAGGGATTAACAATGCTCCTCACTGATCCATTTCAACGACATTCCTGTTACTTAGCCGTACTGGGCGCAGGAGCACCATGAAAACTGTAGTGTTGAACAGGTTTCGTGTGGCCCAAAGTCTAGTCTCCCATTTCCGTGCTGATACAGCAGACCTGGTGGCTCAGAATGACGCCCTCCGCCTTACTTGCCGATCAGCGAACATTGCGAGCAGAAGACGTCAAGCGAAGGCATCCCAGAATCGAGGACTGTCAGGTCAGAGATGCGCAATTACCGCCCGCGGGGTGGGGGGCCATAGCCTCTCCCGGGCGATGATGATTCGTTGTTCCGTGTTCATGACGCTGGCCCCAGAATCCAAAGACAGGTTATGGGAGTACGTAGATCTCACGGCCCTCCTATGTGTTTGGCCGCGTCGTCGCTGCCGAACCATGTAGAAGCTTAGCACATGCCGCCAGAAGCTGCCCCCTTGCTATTGGCCTCGCCGTTGCCGGATATCGACCCCGTTCATCGGCGGGTGGGGGGCGTGTCTGGTCATCGCGGTAAGAGTGAAGTTCCTACGGTTCTGAAGTCTCCGCACCTATCCGTAGCGGTGTCCGCCGCGCCTCCCTCTGTACGGTAGTCTGTAATGCTTTGGGTCTAGGTACATAGGATACCTCAAGAGTAAGTGTCTTCCTGCCTGCAGTGGCGCGCAGCTGCGTGGGGTGCTCTCAAGGACATGGACACACTGCTAGCCAATGACTTCAGCGAGCCAACAGTGCAGTGCTGTTCCGGGCCCCTCCCTGGATGCTGGGAAGGCGCGCTGTCGGGTAAAGAACTTGACTAATACAATCCACTCGGCTTGTGTCCGCAGCCGGGACCTCCACGAACAAAGGCTTCATTCTCTCATTTTCGACTTCTCCTCCCCCATCTCGTCCACTTTCCCAAACTCCCCAGCATCGGATTCACCACTCGTCCAGCACTCGTAAAGCACTTGCCTCGCCCAATATCCCGTTCATCGATTGACAAGGCGACAATTACCTCTGGCGTCGACGTCTCATCGCCACCGATCCTTCTCGCAGTGGTGTCAAAAGACCGGAAATTTGGAACTCGAAGCCGGCTGGCCATTTCCCGCATTGGTTGGTCCGCGCATAGCACTTCGCACTTTAATTGCTTGGGGGTCCAGCATCCAAAAACAGCCCACTGCCCCTCCAAACGCCATCGCCGCCATCCCTCACTTGAGGCCCCAAGTTCTCGCAACCACAAAACAACTCGACGTCCTCGCCCTAGACCTGGCTTCGACCGAGCCACTTCGCTCCTCTGTCACCTTGCAGACCTGAACAACCACCCCGGATTCCCTTCGCTGCGAGCCGCGCCGGCCTTCGATATGTCGCCTTACAGCAGTGGTGGGCGTGCCCCCAACGTCTCGCATTTCTTGCGAGATCTCAACACCGTAAAGGAGTCCAGCCACGAGGATAATTTCACTTTCGAAGAGGATCTCGCCGTCTTCACCAACTCCTCTTTTTTCGACTTTGAGACCGGCCAACAAACCGATTATCAGGCACCGCCCGCGAAGCCAGAGGCGGAGACCCAGGCCCCGTCGAGCGCCGCCGCCGAGGATTTGACTTCTCCTCTCGGCGACTTTGGCAATGTCGATTTTTCTTTGCCAGGTGAGCCGTGGTTCTCTTCGTTCTGGCATGGAATTCCCCCGTTGTCTCTTTTTGAAGCCGCCGCTCCCGCACATCGCCAGTCCCTGGATTTAGCCGCACAAAACTCGCTCCTACTCACCAAGTTGATGCCTTGAAGTCATGTCAAGCGACTATGGCACAAAGGGGCTTTTCTGTATTTCTGGTGGCTGTGTTAATGCTGTTCTACACGCTATCTGGGTTGCAGCAGAAACTTGGCCGAGTGGCTACAATTTTTCGACTACCTCATGGCTCCCATTCAATTTGTGTGCAGACGACTACTAGGGAGCAGAGTGGTGATTCACGATTTGCATGAGTCAAGCGGCTTATGTGTGTGAACTCTAATTGTTGAGGTCGTGAAGAAAACCGATTCGATTTATCTTCAGGGTCGCAGCGAAGCACATTAGAATGCCTTATCTCAAGGCTTCAAACCTGTTGTTTCTACCCCACCCGGTTCATGCGCGGCCCATGTTTCAACGAGACGTCTTGATTGGGAGTTTTAGCAGCTCTTTATGCAGCTTGCCGGCCTGCGGTGTTGAGAGAGAGCCGCGACTCCAGATGACAAATTGTCTGGGGAATGGTGCAATACCCCGTGACTTGCCGTCATCGACCCTAGCAGGGGGGCATCGACCATCTGGGCAGCCGCCATCACAGACGGATAGAGCAAGTGCTAGCTGGTGAAGGCCCTGTTATACCAGCATTAAGACTCGCGGATGCAATCGCTCCTGTGAAGACCTCTGCCCGTCCGTCTTCCCCCTCATCCCGCTGTCTCGCCGACGCCACGATGCTAGGAGCCGATAACCTGCCTTGAACACCCATCTGACCATGAACAATGACAGGCGACTTCAGCTTCACCGATTTTACCAACCACTACCCTGCTTCGGGTGTCCCTCCCTTTGCCGAAGGCCTGGGTAATCTTCAACCTCTTCAGCCCAATCCGCAAACCACTTATGCTCCGCCTCCGGTTTCTCAGCAGCCGCAAAACCATCACTATGGCGCGCCCGCTCCGCGTCCAGCCGAGAACAGTACCCCTGAGTCTTTGACCAGTGGCAGACCTGGCCAAAGCTTTGAAGAGCAGTCCCGTCTCGCCGCCGAGGAGGACAAGCGCAGGAGAAACACAGCCGCTAGCGCCCGTTTCCGTATCAAGAAGAAGCAGCGCGAGCAGGCTCTCGAAAAGAGCGCGAAGGAAATGTCTGATAAGGTTTCTCAGCTAGAGGCACGCATCAACTTGCTCGAAACCGAAAACCGCTGGCTCAAGAACCTCGTAATGGAGAAGAATGAAGGCAACGAGGATATTGCATCCATGTTGAAGGACTTCCAGAATAAATCCAAGACGGCCACAAAGTCCACGACAATCTTGGACGCGCCGAAGGAGGAGAAATAGCCAGCAGACCTTTTCACCACGCACGGGCTGATTCTATGATGGCCGCTTGCGGGCGTTACGCTTCATGCTGACGACTTTGAGATTTTTCCCGGCACCAGATGGAGTTCGATCAAAGGAATGGACTAGGAGACTATCGAGGGACAGGTGATGGCTGTGGGAAGTAGAGGGCGGGCTTGGATGGGCGTGTTATGTTTCAACTCGGCTCTAATTGGGAACATGTGACGAAATTTATATACACCGACACGGACTCATGATCAGGACTCGTGGTAGAGTATCTCACCAATGAATTATATGAGACTGTTGATGGCTATTCGCAATGACAAACACGGTTCGGAGAATGTATGGGTGACTGGGAGTATAAGCAGCGACTGGTTCGTACATGACCTGCGGTGAGTTCTATCGGGGAATCAGACTGTTTGCAGGCATCTCCCCGGTCTCCCTACTCATTGGATTTCTACTTTTCTTCCTTGCCGTCCCCGCTTCTTTAAATCACCGCGAGCTTCCCCATCTGCCAACAAAGCCGACCTGGTAGTCATCAAGGCAAAGAGAAAAAAAACTTAGATGTATTTCTGACACATGGCCTAAAGGCCCTGACACCTCTGCTGATAACTTCATCGCCAGAAATTCTCCCGCGTCGGAAGTTCACTGGCAGGTAGGCCGGCCAGGACACACCTAAGGTGGCCACAGACGCGATGAAGTAGGGACGGAGATGGTGGTTACGACGAAACCTCCAGCGGGACGGAAGGCAAAATTGGCGACACGAACATGATCAACATGCAATTAAACTGTAGACCCTCAATTATCATCGTCTCTCGCTGCTGCTCTCGGCCTTTCCTTCCTGTCGCTGTCGACGCTGTCCCTAAGACTGGCCAGGCGAGTCTGATTCCGCCGGCCAAGGATCCTCATCGTGCTCTCCCTCTCGATCTGAGTCATCTCACCCCAGTTCTTTATTCGCGACATCGTACCGTCCTGGTGAACCACAAGGGGACCGAGGTGGTCCAGCTTGGTCGATGCGCCGCCTCCTACTTGACCCCCCAAGTCAAGGGTGATGGAATCAGCGTTGGACCGAGCCTCGGGAAGCGGCGGCAAAGCCAGATGATTATGGGAATGAGGCTGGCTAGAATCGGAAGAGTTGTTGGTGCTGGAGCTTTCTGCCTGAGGGTTGGGTGTCGTGTTTTCAGGGGCCGGTGACGTGCTTTCCGTGGGGTGGTGTTGGCAGTGGTCCTCACCGGGGAGAATTTGCTGTTGTTGGTTGACGCTGGCTCTAGTCACCTCCGCCTCCATACCGTCGGCATCTTGCGAGGTTGGTTCGAACTTCGACTGAGATGTCGATGATGTGATCATTCTTGTATTTAATCTAATAGGTCTAGTGGTGGTGGCGGCGTAAACAGTGATCAAGGCGGGTGATGGTCCGGAGGGTTGGCGTGTCTGATTTCGCAGCGGCGCGTACCCACGTAGAATGATTCTGTGAAACGATCTCATCCGGGCGTTTGGCTATCAGATTTCGAAGGAGTTGAGCGTGGAATAGTCAGGCCTTGAGAAAACGAACGTCCCGTGTAGTTGTGGTGAACGACTGCTGCGAGGGTAAGTATGTCTGTCGTTCGTCGAACATAGGTAAGACGGTAGATCTGTGAAGTGGGTCAGGTCACTCACTTCTGGCAGTTTCCATGCCCCATGCTTACCGTGTCAGTTTCTAGTCTTTTGAACAACATGTATATGTATTCTCAACCCCTCCCTCGGCACACATATTGCTGGTCAATGTTCACCAGGCCTGCGACTTTTCCTTTTTTTCCTCGTCTTATTTGAAGAAAATTAAGTTTCCTTTTTCATTTAATTTTGGATTCTCGCAGGCAAAAACTGACGATGGCTGGTTCACATAACCGAACGCGACATGAGTTACGTGGGTATAACTGACTTCTATTTCTAAGTATCAAACAGAGAGTACCTCCTGTTTGGGTATCCATTGGTTTGCACCGTCCTGTCTTGAAAAAAAATGAAAAAAAACCGGACTCTTACTTCTATCCACCGCACCTAACGCCGGTGATGCCAAGAGTGCTAAAAAGAGGCAACAGAAAAGAGAAGAACGAAAAACCTCATCTGTCTCAGCGATGGACCTCTCCACTAGTCCTCCGACGATCAAGCCGTCTCACTACCGCACCCAACACCACCTTCAGGATGCTATCTGCCGTCAGAACACCCCTGGTACCATTCTCCCAAGTGACAGTGTCGACCATGTCGCGAAGATCGCCGTCAGCTCTGTCAACAAGATCGTCATCAAGCTCGCGCAAGGCCTCCCGAGCGCCGGGCTCGTTGCCGACTTGGAAGAATTGTATGCCGATCTGGTGAAGAGGGGCATCAAGTTTGTCCAGCTTTTTGGCGGCAGTGATGATAGTAGACTCGACATCGTCGGAGGGAGCGCCATCGGTGATGACGATGATGTTGATGGGTTTCACGCTCTCAACGTCGTGCTTCTTGGAGTCCAACAGTTGCAGATATGGCTTGAGAATGCTGTGAAGACGCTGGCCGGTAGGGGTAGCGCCACGGGGACGGACTGATGTGAAGATGCCCTCGACCGTGTCGGCACGCTTGATGCCGTAGTATCCACCAGCGGCTTTGCCTTCCCTGGCACTACCGCTGGCAGTCGTCTTGTGGTTTAGGAAGTAAAGGTCGATGCCATCGGCATCGTGAGCGGTGCAGACGGGGGTGACGGCGCGGAGAACGCCCTGAACCTCGGGCCAAGATCGGCCAGACATAGAGCCGGAATCGTCAACAACGAAGATGGTATCGAAGGAGGACAGGAAGGCATAGGGGTCTTCGGGGGTCGAAACACTCATGCCAGAGACAGAGCTGATGGAGCCAGAATTGGAGGGGGCAGGCGAGGGGCTTCTCACTGGACCGCCGTTGGGCCCCAGGAAGCTGGTGGCTGGTGGAGCCGGGGCAGAAACCGAATAGGCAGGGGGCGGCTGGTCGACAAATGCGCCTGTTCATTGGTCAATGGGTGCTTGGAATAATCTCAGGCGTCGTGTGAGTGAGGATCATGACTTACCATTGCCCGGTTGAGCCTGGGTGAAGGGATTATGACTGCTCGGCATGGTTGTGGAAGGTGCGGAGGACTTGGTTTTTTGAGAAGAGGAAGAGGACGACGAATTGCGGGTGAGTTTATCCTTCACACAACCAAAGATGGATTTGCGCATTTTTTTTTGGTGCTCGTCGCAAGATGTCGACGTAGGGGAGTAGAGGTCTGCAGTGAAGTGAGGCATTGTGAGGGTTCTTGAGATATGGCCGTTGGATTGATATAAGAAGGCAGGTGGAGCCGTTCAACGGGTCGGTGTCGTCGGTCTCCCAAGGTAGGGTCCTCAAGGAACTCACAAAGCAAGAACAGAGTTCGAGTTTTGCTTTTCAGGTCTCCTTGTTCGTCACTCAAGGTTGTAAAAGAAGTTTGCCAGTATGGCTCAAACTACTTCGACTCTTGGTTGGTTCCTTATGGGGTTAGCGTTTGAGATGACGGACAACATTCTGTGTCAATGCTGAACTCAGTCATTCATCTTATACCACCGCTTTTTAACTTGAAAAGCCCAGCCAGTATGCCTTGATGGCGCTGAGTTTGAGAAGTTGAAATAGTTATCAATGCGTTGGTTGTTCCTCCAAGAGGGACCAATGCTGAATCTGGCAGTGTTGTGGTTCAGTCATTATAACGTACCTAAGGTACCTACCTAGTGTCCGATCATAGTGGCGGTGCTGTGGTCATCTGGGTGGCGGCTGGGTTCGTGTGATCCTATTGGTGAATGCATTCAGTGGCTGCGCCCCAGGCTGAGCGCCCGCGCCTCAGATGTAGTAGATTTTGCTCAATCTGCCTGTCGCGCCTTGTGACTTCGTTCATAGTGATCAAGTTGTTCATGCCGATCGATAGCATCACGTGACCGGTCTGTCCCCTGGGGGCCGTCAGTGCCTCCGAAACGCGGTAACAGGGCTGACTCGCCAAATCCCCTGACCCACAACGAAAATCGAAGCGCCCTAAAACACCCGGGTAAGGTTGGTAGGGTTGGACTTTTGCGGTGCTGCAGCTGGCCGAAGACGACAGCAGCGGTCCTGAATCCCACTCATGGTGTCATTACGCAGCAGAAATCTCAAGAGCGTCTGTAGCTACAAAGTGTCATCAACAAGAAGTAACAAGCTGTGCAAATTCTCTAGATCTATCGCACCCTATCTCAGAGTACAGGAATGCTAACTTTTCCCGGTTGGGCACGGAAGCACGGATATGTAATGAGTGGACGTACAGATTGGCGATCCAGAGATCCGCTTCTGACCATGGATAGTGGACACCGCTTTTTCCCTTCGTGCAATCAGTTGAATTAAAGGCCAGATGAAAACGCTGAAAGGAAAGCTTCAGTGCTGTTCCGTTCTGCTCCAGCTTTGCCCAGCCTCGTCCAACGTTCGGAACGCAACTCGTTGGCTATCGAGACAGCAGAATCGGCCCGGGGACTAGACTATGCTCTCCTGGTCTCCAGCCTTCTTCGATTGCAGGCTTGTTTAAAACCCCTCCTCCGATCTCTGCTCGAAGAACATCTGCCCTTCATTGCAACTTCGTCAAGTGGCAGTCCCGCGCCATATTCAGCGTGGGAAACACTGGCAACGCCAGCAAGTAACCTGTCATCTTCCCTCCACGCCCAACGAAATCCACAATTGGAAGAGCCTGCATGAAAGCTGCATTCCTGACCTACAGGGATCCCTTAGCCAACGTCAGGGCCCAAGTGCCGGTGAAGAGAAGAACCTAAGCCGTTCGTAGCTTGCCCGTATAAGATTGTTTGTGTGCCCCTCGCTGCTTCACCTTGCCCATGGTGGGCAGCTGACCTTCTATCCGGATCTTGCTCTTCTTTCTCTCGCCCCCTTTTGCCCTGACCTACCAGGCCTGCGATTCGCACAACGGCGATTTCCCCGGGAAAACAGACGGGGCGGCAACCAACTGCAAGTCCCCAGCTAGGCACTCGCCTTTTTCCCCTCCTTCTAGCAGCAATCTCACCCTCTCGACGTCAACAACCAAGGTAACGACGAATTGCGTTGTTTACCGCCATCATGTTCAACCGCAAATTCTCCATCAATCGGCACACCGGTGTGCCTAAGCCCAGGCGCTTCAGTGTCGGCGAGAGTAGCGCCAATGGTAAGCAAGCTTTACTTGATCCGTCTCCCTCCCAGATCGCGGCTAGAGCTGCGTGTTCTTCGCCTTTTGATGCTGCCGCGCTTATCGGAAAGAGGTCAAGCTGTCAGCAAGAGGAAGACAGTAGGGGAAAAGCTTGTCCTCCAGCTTTGGTGTTGGTGCGGGGTACGAGCTGAACTGCTGCCCTCAGCTCCAAATTCTTGTCCCCAGCTGCCCCTCGTTCCCCACATTGCTCCAACTCGAGCTCGCTCAGTGACATTGTTAGCATCTCAATGGGCGGCGGTTACAGGAGGGACTTTTTATATTCCGATCATAAGCTAATTTCAGCGATCTCTCAGAGGTTCAATCCAAGACTCATAGACAATTTCGCAATGCCCACGAAGGCCACCAAGCCCACGCCGGTCTCGACGCCTCCCGCTCCTCTACCGGCGTTGTCTGGTGTACTGAGCGCGCTGCTGAGTACGGTTTCCTCGAGGACCCCGACTCATGGGCCAATCTGGGCCAGGGCGCCCCCGAAGTCGAGGATGATATCGCCGGCTGCTTTCCTCGTCCTACAACTATCGACATCTCCATGGCCGGTCGTGAGTATGGTCCCACAGCCGGCATCAAGCCTCTTCGCGAGGCTGTTGCCAACCTGTACAACGTCATGCATCGCCAGGGCAAGCAGAGCCAGTACACCTGGGAGAACGTCGCCATCGTCCCTGGAGGCCGTGCCGGCTTGATCCGCATTGCCGCCATTCTGGGAAACTCCTATTTGTCTTTTTTCTTGCCTGACTACACGGCGTACAACGAGATGCTCTCCCTATTCAAGAACGTGCGTCCCCCGCTCTAGACGGATATCAAGTTTCCGGGACGTATTATCTAACGGTTCTCCTAGTTCTCTGCCATTCCTGTTCCTCTTGCGGAGGAGGACGGCTATCACATCCATCCTGATCGTATCTCTGAAGAGATTTCCCGCGGCTCCTCCGTCATTCTGACCTCGAACCCCCGCAACCCCACTGGTCGCGTCGTTGCGAACCCCGAGCTGGCTGAGATCCAAGATATCTGCCGTGGTCGTGCCACATTCATCAGTGATGAATTCTATTCCGGGTACAACTATACTAGCAACTGTGACGGCAGCACGATCTCCGCGGCGGAGAATGTAGAGGACGTCGATGAGGATGATGTCCTTATTATTGATGGTTTGACC